TGGTGCAATATATAAAAAAAATAAAGAAACACTATCAACCACTGAGCAGATATTACAGCTCCTCTTTCTAAAGTCACTTGAGCTTAACCTATAAGGATGCTGTGTCTCACTATCAATATAATACATGAATCACAGACTCAAACTCTTCAGATCTTTGAGCTTACCAAATATATAACAGTTTAATGGCTATCACAAAAACATCCCACCTGATATCTTTAGTGTTATTTTATGCCCCAGTTAACTTTTAATTGTAGTGAAGACAATAGTTATCAATAATGATTGAATTTGTCCCCGTCGTTTGGCCCTATGCTACAAGTATTTGTTTATGACTAGGAATGGCTGAGAATGCAGATGGCATGACAGCTAAACTCATCTTACCTCTAGCAAAATATGAATGTTCCTGTCAGGACAACACTGGAAAATCTGAAATACCGCTGTCTGTCCAGACTCTGATGATGGATCGCTCGTTCAACAGTTTTTGCAGTCAACACTTTGGTGGTCACAGCACAATAAAAGAGTAAGAATATACAAGCAATTCTGTTCATATTAAACAATCATACAAGCAATAAATACAAGAACATAGGCACAGAATGATGCTCATATATATGACTGAAGCATTTCTGAAATCCGTGGAACCTAACTGAAGGACACAGACAACTGCACAAGATTTCTATTTTGGAAGAGTGTGCTAGCTTTTACCTTAATCTGGAAATACAGCTATGATCTCTTTCTCTTTTGAAAATCTATGGCAATTGACATTATTTTCCAGTCTCCCTTCCAGGAGTCCCTGGGGCAGTCTTGGCTCAGGGAATTCAACTGCAGTGTAACTCCTGAGAAGGGTACTTCTAGAAACTGATGGCCAAAGCAAAGATGCCATGCCAACAGCCTCATTCTCCATCCTCCAAAAGTTCCCAGAACTCCAAAACCTTTTGAAGAAGAAGAAAGAAAAAGGAAAGGGAAAAGGGAAAGGGAAAAAGGAAAGGGAAAAGGGAAAGAGAAAAGGGAAAGGGAAAAGGGAAAGAGAAAAGGGAAAGGGAAAAGGGAACAGAAGGGAAAGGGAAGGGAAAGGGAAGGTTAGGGAAGGGAAGGTTTTGGAAGGTTTGGGAAGGTTTGGGAAGGTTTGGGAAGGGAAGGTTTGGGAAAGGAAGGTTTGGGAAGGGAAGAAAAGGTTTGGGAAGGGAAGGTTTGGGAAGGGAAGGGAAGGTTTGGGAAGGCTTGGGAAGGCAAGGCAAGGCAAAGGCAAGGCAAGACAAGGCAAAGGCAAGGCAAAGGCAAGGAAAGGATAGGGGAAGGTACCATACTGGCACAGTTAATAACAGGATTCTAAAGGAGATTTTATTCAGTTTCACAACCCCATACTGTTCTCTATGGATATTTTTTACTGTGTGGGCCAGAGGAATACATACATAACTAAAAGTACATGCATCTATAGGCACTATCAGCCTCTAGAAAAAGGCTTCTTATTAACTCAATAGTAAACTGTTAAAGGGGAAATTGAGGTGAAAATGTATGAAATGAAATTAACCAAAAATATCTAAGGGGAAAAAAAAGTGCAGCCTTTAATTTACTCTGACACCCAGAAGAAAGAAATCACAGGAAATGCAATGTTGTTCTACATTATGCAAAAGCTTATGTTATTCAATAATGCCCCTGCATAAGTGCAGCATTCTGCCTCTAAGCTATTTATCAATTCAGCATTTTTACTTCACTGCTTCTTAAAATATATAGTCTCTTATATCCTGTGTTTGCAATTTACAAACACGTCCTAATTTAAAAGCTTGAATTCTATGAGGTATCAAATCAAAATCATTTAAAGCCAGTTGAAGCTTGCCAAATTTTCTAAAATAGTACAGTTTAGGTGCAGTAAATTTTCAACAAGTGGAAAAAACATCCATTTTTGTAATGTTCTCAAGAATATTTTTCAATTGAGAAAATTGTTAAAAAAACACCCAAGAAAAGGTCTTGCAGGTATTTTTAAGAAAACCTGCAAAACCAAGTATTTTTGAAGAGTTCTAGCAATTTTGCTTGCACAACTTCTGAACTTCAGATAGCTAAAAAAATTGTATAAAATTCATACGGTTTAAACCCTACTGAGCAGTGGAAATGTTTGCTAATGATACTAACAGGTCATATTTAAAAATTCACTAAAAGGAGAGACAATTATTTAAATTTGGCACCATGCAAGCTGTACCCAAGGCAAAGTCTTGCATATGCTCAAACCTTTGATTAAGGAACTAGGGCTTCTGTGATTTTTGAGATTTCTCACTGTGCAATCCAAAATGCCAGTTTCCTCAGATCTAGCTTGGGAATCTCCAAATCAGAATTGAATTTCATAGCATATAAATTTGCTACCTTGTAAATACCACAAGATGTATCCAACAGATATGAATTAATTTTTTGAAATAGAAATATTTATTATTTGACAATGTTTTCCTGCATTATATTGTTCTACACCACACTGTCATATTTTAATTTCAAAATCATAATAAAGGGCTCTTTCAGCTTGGATAGGGATATATCATTACAGATAAGAAAAATATTTTATTAAGTCTTTTTGCATACTTACTGTTACATTTTTCTGTCTAGAGGAACTATCTGAACTGGTGAGTCAATGGACATAGGATGCCACTGAACTGAGTCCAATATGCTGTATTCCACTACATACACCTTTCAGAAAAATGTTCCATCCTGATTTGAAAGCATCAGAAAATGAAGACACCCCAACTATCTTTGATAACTTCTTCCAGTGGTTAACTAGCCTCATTACTAATAGTCTGGAATTTATTGGTAATTCTAGTTTATCTGACTTTAATTTTTATACTGTTTTGTTACATTTTTCCTTGCTGGTTCAAGGAACCATGTTGCTCCTGGTATTTTTTTCTCTTTGAAGCAACTTACTGACTGTATTCAAGTTGCTGCTTAACTTTCTTTTTTATTTTCTTTACAGTTATATGCAAATACACAGGCTTATCTTCCTGAAATTCACTAACTGGCATTAAGAAATTCCAAAAGTGTTAAAGGAAAAAAAAAAAGAAAGAGTAAGGTGCATAAAAATACTGAATGAGACAGAGAGAAGGCCAAGAATTAGAAAAAACTAAAGTGGACATGATTTTCTGAAACTATAAGCCTAGATGGGTGCCTAAACACAGATTAAAGAGATGAATATTTCTAACTTGTTGGGTGTTTCTGAAATTCTACACCCAGACAAGATTAAGGCATACATTCTTAACATACTGACCTGAAGCAATGAAGAAACAGTATTATTAAAAAAGTAACTACACAGTCTTCCGCTACCCCATGTTCAGCCAGGAAAGATGTTTAAATCTAAGAAAGTAATTGGTATCAATTTACTGGAAAATAAGGGCAATAAGAACCCTCTACACCATATGGAAAACAAAATATTTTATTCATGTTTCATGTAGAAAAAAAATTAGACTGGTCAGAGATACCCTGGCTGTTTATATCTGGTTGGAGAAGACACACTCAACAATTCAGAAAGGTTGAAATCTTATGAAAACCTTATCCTACCTAGAACTGCTTAAGATGTTCAATTATTCTTCTCTCTGCTTACTGCATATTGCATCCATTCTACTTTAATTTTCTACATATACAGAAACTGAAGATCATACAGTTTCTGTTTTGATGCAAAAAATTCTAAGTTAAATACAAAAGTGTGACATTTAATCTATACATTTACAACGCTGTGATAAAATATATGATAAAACATTTGCATGGGTTAGTCATGGTAAAACTCCTGGGTAGTTTTCATAGGTTAATAAAAACATAATGAAAATATAATCTATATTGTCAGATCTCTCAAAGACACTAAAAGGTCTTCCATTTTAATATCTGCAAGTGATAATGTTGTAAGTAAGGTAAAGTGCACTTCAAAAATCATTCGGATCTACTTATCTATACTAAATTCTTCCTAATAATTCAATTTATAAATCAGTAATGCATATAATTTTTCTGGGTCATAAGCACCTACTGAGTAACATGGCCTTTGCTTTACAGACTTTGAGAAGCTTGGCAATAACGGAAGAGATGAAATCAAAACAAAACACAAACCCCCCTTCTGAAGCCACCTCTACTTCATGGTCACAGAAGCAACTTCAAAAAAGTGTTGAGGTATTTTAAATTACATAACCCAGAAAGTTTTAACTGTCTATCTATTGCTGCTTGGATTAATTGAGTCCACTCTTTACTGTTACTTCCTTGACAGTAATGTAGACATATACCACAGACTTCTGTTCCATTCCATATTTATATATTCTTTCTTTTCTCCTTTTATTCTCCCCAAACTAGAAAGCTCAGGGTAAAGTGAGGCATCAAAACTAAATGTAAGCTTAAAACATAACTTTTTGGTGACACTTGGTGACCCCAAGATGAATGCTGGTTGATGCCTATTTTTTATGTCTGTAGTGTCTAAACATTTCATAAATAAACACCTTACACAGATATAACTCTTAATATCTCCTCTCCAATGCAACATTTTAGTTAGAGCCAGCAGGTGTACCATTGTGACTACAATTACTGCCTGAAGACACTTCTGGTTATCACTAGGGCTGACGAATTCCATCCAACGGTCTTAAAGTCTTGACTAAGAAAATGAATCAAATAATCTAGATGAATTCTTCTTCTCATTTAAAAATAGTTTAATTAGTGGTCATGGGTGAAGTTCATGGGTGAAGCTGGAATCAGAATCTCTGAATTGAGAGGAAAATCAGTACAACTGAAAGTTAGGAAGAAATGAGTGCTATGTAAGTTTTTGAATCTTCGGAAAAAATAGCCTTAATTCTCAAAATTTTGGCAAACTGATAATCTGAAAAAAGAATTATAAATATGATCAAGGAATGCATTACATTAATAATTTTAATTTTAATCCCTTTTTATATACATTTTTAAACATTTCAAAATTAAGAGTGAATCTGAACTGAAAAATGAAAATTCACATTTATAAATTTTGCAACAGGATATTTCAATAATTTAAAACCTTTTTCCCACAATACACTTCTAATGAGAATTTTCAAGACAAATCGTTGTTCATAAACAGTGCTATCCTTGCTGAATAATATTTCAAGTAAAACACTTCATTGAAAAATTCTCGATCAAGTCAAATGACAATATACACTATCTTCATTACAGATAAAAAACTACACCAAAATCAACACTCATTTGCTTAAATACTCAGCAGAATTACCTTGCTTGCTATTGTTCTTTGGCTTTTATAAGCATTATTGCTCCTCTTGCTTATCACTAATAGTATTGGAAACAAATGTACTTTGCCTATTTAGTGGAAGATAGAAAACTTAAAACTTTGGAATTTTTTTCTCTGCAGTGGGACTAGTCAAGCTACAAATCAGATTATTTTTGCTGGCATATTACTGACTGCTTTCATAAGAATTATGCTCACACATCTTGAGTATATCTGTAGCAGCTAGAAACTCAAAAACATACAAGAGAATCTTAAGTCCTTTATTTTTATTTATGCAGGAATGAGAGAGATACTATTTAAGAAACCTGCAGTGAAATCCTCAAGTTAATTTGCGGATGGGGTCTCTACAACTGCTGTTTCCCTTAATATTTCCTTAGTATCACCTCTAGGGATGACTTTGTCTTAGGTTTCATCACAGTTTCTCTACTAAATTTGGTGTATGATAACTGATGCCTGTTTCATGAATATTCCTTCCAGTTTCTAAGCAAAGGACTAACACCTTTCCCCTGTTACCTTTTTGCACCTTTTTGCTTCACCTAACTTCTCTTTGTAACCAACTTCATACACCATTATCATAAAGAAGGTTTCTCTCTTGTGGACAGCAAGCAGAGTCACTTTTCTATTTTACCTTAAATTAACTTCTGCTTCAAGATTTCTCCTCCTAAGAATCAAAATCCTTAAAAAATCTTCAAGGAAGTGGATATTCAGTTATATATACACACACACACACACACACACACACACACACACACACACACACACACATGTATGCTGGACACATTCTTCATACAAACATAGGTGGAGAAGAGCAGGCTGCATTATATATTTTAGAGTGAGATATTTACTGTTTAAAAGAAAGCTTTCAATGGAATTAAAAGCCAGAGATTTAATGGCAAATGCGTAACTTCATAGAGACATATTATTGTATTTTATGTCAATGAATAACGACTAATAAGATCATCATTTTGTGGAATTGATATTTTAAATATATACTGAAATAAAAATATACAATTTATCCTTTTTTCTTTTGAAGCTTAAAATTTAGGAAATGTTAGGTTAAAACCATAAAAATAATGAATCAGTTATGCCATCAATCATAAAACTAAAGAATTTGAAACTATTCCTTTCCATGTGCAAAATATTATTTCCATTTCAATGTATGGCATAAGCTGAAGTTTCTTTAAAAATATAGTAAAATACAGCATAAATCTATAGTTACATTTAATCAGTTTTAGAAATATGCATCCAATACTTAGACACTGTAAAATTATTTAGAATCAGTCAATTTTACCTCAGTTACTGCTGAAGTAACAGAAGCTATGATGCAATCATCTTTTGTAAATGGAGTGGCATATTGGCCCTCATCTACACAAAACCCTGTAAATATAACCTACATGTTGTTAGTCATTACTTAACTCAGCATCCAAAGTGCTCATTTTAGTTGTTCTGTATTAATGCATTATGCACAGTGTATTTTAAATAACGGTTAACAACAAGATGCATTTTAAGCAACGTAAGGAAGAGTTACAGAAAACAGTTTCGACTTCCCATATAAAAACCTTCTTAGAATTCCCTCCATTGAACATACAAACCCCTCTGAAGGAACTCAAAAGTCTTTAGTGGATTGTCTGGGAACAGATTAGCAAAGCAGAATTCAGTATTTAACATAAGGTGCTCTCTGGGCCATGGGTGTAATAAAGCATCATGCAAGATATGAAATAACTCCATCATTTTCATCTTTCTTCTTTCAGTTGGCAGTCACATTGGCTTCCTTCTGACGCAGTCTTTCTTTCTGTAAAAGAAAAAGCGTTTTATTATCATTCTTGTCTATAATTTCCCACCTCCTCTCAAGTTGCCATGTGCACTTGGTCTTGAAGATGGAGAAGTACTAAACAAGTCACAGTAGATTAAAGTTTTCTTTAATTTAAAAATGCCTAGAGCACTCAAAGAAGGCCCAGAACCAGTTCTTACTCACTGTGGAAAAGCTGAGTTTGCTTTAGCTACACATTTGTCAAATACTGTGTACAGTAAAAATACACATCTCTGTGAAGAAAAGTGCAGCCAGAGAAAATCAGATACATTTCAAATTCATGTGACTCTTAATACCTTCTCTTGTCTGGAATGGTTTCTGCTGACATAAAGGCTTTAATTTAGCATCAGCTAGGTTATCTTGCTTAATGACTTCTTCCCAGGTAAGTGTAGTCATTCTTATCTCTGACGCCTGATACTGCAACTGATATGCTCTGCTGGGAATGGAAGTAATATACTCACTCCTTCATGTGCATTTCCTTCCCTTAGTCTCTTTCTTACTAGAGTTTGAGAAATGACAATCTAACCTATCTGTCTTTCACAAAGACAATAAAGGTTTTCTTTACAGTGCACATGATTAGTCCTCTTTTTGTGTTGTATTGAAAACACTGGTATACAGCAAGGAACAAAATGGGGGTTTAATCTCTTCTACAACTATTTGACAGAGCAAACAAGATTTTTAAGGTTTTGAAAAAAACAGCCACTGGACAAATGTATGCAGTGAGTTTCAATGCACTATGAAGGATGGAAGAAAATATGAGACTTCAGTGGAAGGGAAGAAGAAACCACAAAAGCAGCTCTTCTCATATTTTGTTATCTAAAACAGCAGGGCCATGCTTAGGCACAACTCAACTAAGTTTTAAATATAACTGTTGGACTACCATAAGGCAGAAGCTTTAACGTTTCTCCTTGGGTAGAAAATCACTCTGCTACATTCAAACTAAGCATACTACATCACCCTTCAACAACACAGAAACCAACCATCATTCTGAATGACAAGAATAGTGTCACAAAACCCGTTTGTAATGTCATAGTGGAAACCAGATCATACCAGGCTGGCTGTAGGATTGATCTTCTTCGTTTCAACTTTCTTCTCTGCAGTTAACTTGCTCACTGACTGCTGAGCTACTTTAATTCTGAAACACAAAAAAGACATCATTAGATTCAAAGAAATTAAAGGTATTCTGGCTCTGTTTTGCATCTACTTTATCTGTAAGAACCCTCACCACTAACTTTTCTTTTTGGCATGTTAACCCAACAAACTACTATTTCTATTCAAAGGCACTTAATAAAGTACCAAAAGTAGATCAAAGTACATTTGCAAAGGGACAGCCTGCCTGTATTGCTCACTGAAAATGTCACCTGGCAAATGATTTTCCAGTTCCTGCAGTAGCTGGGTTTTATGGAATACCTTTCCCACTAAAAAGCTGCAGTATCAAGGTCAAAAGATCCTCCTCTGAAAAAAACAAAAGCTATCCAGTTCAATCTGTTGCACATATAGAATATGTTATTTTAGTAGGCATTTGCCAGGCTACACATTATATTTCCCATGAAAACGTTGAAATGAAAGCATCTGCCATTTTTCCCTTGTTTTCTGTGTTGCTTTACATGGAATTGACTGACTAATCTCATTGATGGGGTAATTGGAGAGGCAAATCAGGAGGTGTTCTTGTCTTGGGGTAGTTAAAGCTGTCTTATGTTCAGCTACAAACCAGTCTACTGACAGTACTACAGAGATAAGGGGAAAGAAGAACACAGATCTGATTCCTCTGTTTCTTTCTTTTTGCTCTTATGGTCTTGCCTACAGAACCCTTGTTTCTATGGGGATTTAACAAGAAGAACCCAATGAGAAATTTAAGCAGGAGAGAAAGGAGAAACAGAATTAAAAAAAAGGGACTGGACTCTCCTCTTACAGACTAGAAAGCACATGGGAAATTATGCGCTAAACAGTGATAAAAAGGAAAGAAAATTCTTGGCATTCCTAATACAGGATCTGCCCAGTGCTCAGTGCCTTTGTAATACTGATGCTACATACACCTACCTTATAATTCATATGCAAAATGCAGAGGGAAAAAAGTAGGGAGTGAATTTTTACAACCAAGAAGAACTAGCAAAATAGGAAACTAGTAATGCACACCAAGTCAGTCTTTTACTAGAAGCAACAAATTTCCTGGCACTCTTGAACTGAAAAAATTCTACTTCCTTCTACTATTTAACTTTTCCCACTGGCAGAAATAATTGTTAAGGTCAGTCAAAAAGTATTTAAAATACCATGTCCAGTTCAAACCACTTTCGACACACTCAGTTTTTGAGGAATTTTGGAAGAAAAGCAAAAAGGGAAGTGGATTATAGCTGCAATTACTGATGTGTATTTCCTCGCTGTAACAGTAGCAGCAAACTAGATTCTTTTTAAAATACAGAACACAGTGATAAGTTCAGTTACTGTGTTTATCAATTTGGAAATATTATCAGTGCTGGAAATTAAAATTTCTTCTTTATGCATTTAGAAACATCTACTTGGTAGTTATTGTTGTAGTCTCACTTTCCAGTGCTTAAGAACAAGAGCAAACAGTTAGCACTACTTTAAAGTAAAATAATTTTCAACACTATTTAGCTACAGCATTGATTCAAGCTGTAACTACACCCTCAAATACACAAATACAAAATTATTATTCTCTATATTTTTTAAATACAGATGCCCTATTTTTAAAACTTAATTAGTGTTCCCTGTTTCTACAGGTAAACAACTAAGTGACAACACACCATTCTATCTTTTCACAACTTTGTTAATCAGCACAGTTTACTTCTTAATGATGAATGAAAGCACCCACTGGACAGCATGCTATTCCTCGCAGCTACAAAGTTTATGCAAAGATAATAATATATTTCAAGACAGTCTTCAGATTCAGCAGAATCACACCAAGTGATCAGCTTCTAAACTCTTCCCTATTTTAAGCACATTTTCTATCTTATCCCATTCTCTTTGGTCCTAGAAGTGTTTTCAAGTAGAGTTTAAATGTATGGAGTCCATATTTTCACCTGAAGGGAGAATTACAGGGATTATAAACTTTCGAACTTAAAAAGAAAATTATGCCTCTTCCTGATTTAGGCCTAGCCCTGTGCATTTTATGTCATATTTGCACCATTTCTGGGAAACCTGGATTTTAAAAAAGAGAATTAATATTCTGGAATACAAAATAAAAATAAACCAACTTGATTTGAATCATGTAATATTTGGCTCACAACAATGAGAAACATTATGTGTATTACACTTTGGTCTCCTAGGGAAAAAAGCCACCACTCTGCTAACAAATGACTGATAAGATTAGCAGGCACTATCAGAAACATAACTGCATAATTTAAAAGGAAGGTAGTTATTTGGATTTTTAAAAAATCAGGTGGTTCAATTTTAAGAAAATTGTTAGCAGTATTTACTTCAGTAAAGCTGATGTAAAGGTACCTTATAAATAAAAATAACTCTTTGTCAAACATGGATAGAATACTAGAACTGGCTAATGTGTTTGGAAGCACTATACTTGAAATGCAAAAATGAAATGGTATGAAAACTATCAAATTCAAAATCATAAAAGTGCCTAACTTTATTTTTTTTTAAATTTATTGTCATTAAAAAGCCCCCTAGGTACGAACACATATCATCCATTAAAAGCTGTGACAGTCTTCCAACAAAACTTACACACACACTGTTCTTTACCCACATCTTTAGCAAAGGATAGACAAGAACCTGTTGGAGCACATCCTGAGGAGGGCCACAAAAATGATCAGAGGGCTGAAACACCTCTTCTATGAGGAAAGGCTAAGAGAGCTGGGGTTATTCAGCTTGGAGAAGAGAAGGCTCCAGGGAGAACTTACTGTGGCCTTCCAATACTTAAAGGTTTACAAGAAAGATGGGGAAGAACTTTTAGCAGGGTCTGTTACAAAAGGAAAAGGGGTCATGTTTTTAAAATAAAAGGTCAATTTAGATTAGGTATAAGGAAGAAGTTTTTTACAATGAGGGTGCTGAAAGAGAATCAAGCCCTGAGATGGAGCTTCACCATTTAAAGCACAATTTAAATAAGAATCCCACCAACCATTCTACACTCCTTTCTTCTGATTTTTGTTGTGTGAAATAATGTACAAGGTAGCAGCTCACACTAACTGGACATTTAAAGAGGCATGGCCATGAGGGAGAGTTTAGAGATGTGCAAAGAAATGGACTCAATGAAGAGATTTCATTTTCTTCCTACACCAGTATAAAATACTATGGATGGACACAATAGTCTAGCTATGTTTTAGAGAGTGCACTGAAGAGAAATTGGGACTTAATCTAATAGATGTGAAATCAAGGAGGAAGAAAGGGAATAGAAAAGTCAATGGAAGTATATCTAAAGCAGAAAAGCAAGAAAGGATAAAAGTGTGCAGTAAAACATGACAGAAAAATAGTGACAAGGACTCTTTCAGACAGAGAGTTCTGGAAAGGACAAAGAGACCAGAAAGTATGGTAGAATAGTTGAATCACAACACAAGAGACACCAGTGACTGCACATTGGAACAGACTGCCCAGAGAGGTTGTGGAGTCTCCCTCACTGAAGATAATCAAGAACCATCTGGACACAGTTCTGTGCAATGTGCTCTAGGATGACCCTGTTGAGCAGGGAGGTTGCACCAGATGATCGACTGTGGTTCCTTCCAACCTGACCAATGTGTTAACTTAGCAAGCAGCAACGCGAGGCCACAACATTGTGGAATGCAGGTCGCTTAAGCCTTTAAATCTGATGAGCTGCAACACTGTTCAAAAGAAAAGTTCAAAAGAAAAGTTATTCTCCTTCAACAGTGATCAGAAGAGATTAATATACCTTGATGAATAAAGAAGATGTGGTGTCAAACTGAGCAGTACTGCACATTAGCACATGATACAGGAAAAAAACTGAATTACATAATCAAAACAATGTATTTTTAAATAGGAGACATGACTCCAATACTGCATATGTATCCTTACTAAAAGCAATGGGAATATAACTGGCTTTTTCCTGCCTTTATGTGGCAGATGTTGTCTTACCCTGTATGCAAGTCAGGCCTCTTAAATTAGAAGTTATTATTGAAAAATAAAGACATTATTTTTATTCAAAATTATTTTTATTTTTTAACTACGGACACAGAAACTAAATCTAAACATAAGCCTTTATTTTTTAAAAGTTTCCTTCATAAGCTCATGAAAATACTTTTTCTCCTTACAGGAAAAGATATCAAGTCAGGGATTAACCAGATAAACTGATTATCATTTTCATGCCAGCTTCCCAATCAATTCAGACAGAAAGAGGAGTGAACTGGCATGCTCCATGCTCTGAAGCCCTCAGTAAGAAAAAACAGTATCTCTTCTAAATGAGCCAATTGCTACTCATGTAATGTTCTGGCTCTGCTATTGTATGATGCCAGAGACCAAATTATCTGGATTGTCTCTCAGCTTCTTGATACTCTGGAATAATCCATTCTTTTTGCTTCTACAGCTCCTTCCATGCAGCTGGTGGGTTATGTGGATAGCTGTGGGTTATGAAATAGCCACATGACAATTCTGTGCCACCTGAGCTTTCCGTGACTAGAAGTTCAAACTTCTCCCATAAGACTCTTTTGGCATAAGGAATTGTTGTGTAAACAAAGCTATGGGTCGAGATGAACAAGCAGAGGTAGCTACAGTGAGCATCAACTGTTCAATCTAGAGCCAAGCTGCATACCCAGCCCAGATCCTTAACACAGCTGAACAGTGACTCCCCTTGAGAGACTAAGAAATATCCCCATAGCTCAAATTCCTTTCATGTATCACACGCCTTTCTGCTCTCAGTCCTATAGTGATTTCTGTATGCAGCCCATAAACCTTAAGTAACAGCACTGTTTCCTGAAAACAGTTAGCCCATGCAATATAACAGATTAGATTTCAGTCTTAAAATTTTAGAAGAGAGATGCCTGGCAGACGATTTTAGAGAGCTCTTGGTTAGCTTCAAAATTAGGAACTTTATACCAGACTATGAAGTTTGAACACTGTCCAATTCTAATACCGTGTTGTACAATACAACTGCTTTCAGACTTAAAACTTCTGGAAAGAACTTGGTCATTACTGATCAAATCTTTAAACTGCAGTTTT